ATCCCAAAGCACAACCCAGGCCACATAGCACAAAATGCAAAGTAAGAAGTACGAACTTCTGCATGTCCGCACACAGAAATACGTGCGCAACACCACACGATAAAACTCATATGTGTATATTACATGTGCTGAAGCGTCTGTGTGTGGGAGAGAGAGAGAGAGGGAGGGGAGAGAGAGAAACAGAGAGAGAGAGAGAGAACGTATATCTGCCACATGATCACTTCAACCTCTTTCGAAATGTGCGAAGAAAACCTGATGTCAGACAACGCAAGACCAAGTGACCAAGTGTGTGAAACGTTGATGGTATCTCGTGGTGGCACACACAAACCTCTGTCAAAACGACTTTTACATTGCCTTGTACAGAAGGCCGAAAGTGCTGCGGCAGGACAGCACATCGTACATAAATGTCTCGCACATTACACCAGACCAAACCCGGAGAGTACAAAGACCTGTGTAATATAGGGGCCTAAATAGTTACCAGTACTGTTGTGGGGGATCCTCATTATACTTGTAGTATAATGGGCCTCCCCCCCCCCAATACCCCCTATTCCAATTATTAAGGCCCCTATGTTACCGTCGACGTGCAGGTAGGAAAGCATAGCATGTTCACACAAACATGCGTGTTCATTGCTGGCACAACCTTGTACCGGCTACCACGAGATCTGAATTCTTTCTTACGAAAGCCTCCCCTGGCAGAACCTCAACCGCACGATCCATCTGATGAGTACACCAGACCCCATAAAGTTGGAAACCAGGCTAAGGCCAAATAGTGCTGGGATTCCCTATACATTACTCTTGAGGATTGAGGCTATGGGGTTTCCAACTTTTGGGCTTCTACGGTACAGAGGCCAGGGGTCGATAAGAGCAGAGTTGTACAGACGATTACGCAGGCGGCCTGCATCTGCATGGCCTTCTCAAACTCTTCACGAGAAACAACTCCATCGTTGTTGGCGTCGATGCGGTTGAAGAGGTCCTTGAAGAATCCGCCCTAAACCCTGAGCCCTAAACCCTTAACTCAGCTGCCAAGCCTGGCTAGAGACAGAGAGAGTTCAAAGGTGTTCGGGTGTGGGTTCGCTTTTGAGCTTGAAAGATTTGCCGCTCCGGCAATACATTCGGATCTCAAAAGCACCCTGAAACAGTATCTCTAAAGTACACCTACTTACAGGATCATGGGGCTTAGTAAGTAGGGTCACGCTACGGGAACCATAGTTATAACCACTTCTGACCCACATTGACTAGGGCACGCATAACTTAAGACCTTACTTACGAAGTTCTCTGATCCTGCAACGATACGGGGGCCCATTATCTCGAAAGCCAGGAAACATGGAGACCTAGAGCATCATGGTTTAGTGCTTACCTTAAGCTACCAAAACCCACAAAAAAGTAGGGTCCCTATAAATTCCATGTTAGGGTGTAGAATAAGAACCTACAGAAAAGTAGGGTTTGGTTTTTTAAAGTAGGTCTTAGGGGACAAATCCGCAAATTATCGAAGATCCCTCTATACCGCAAAATGCAAGGGCGAAGAGTGTTGGGCTGCCGGCGAGCCTTCCTTCGGGTTTGGGTGTTAGAGGCTTAGGGCTTAGGCTCAAGGTTTAAGGTTTGGGCATGGGTCTTTGGACTTCGAACCACATTTTTGGGGTTGCTTGAACCCGGGGTGCGAGAGGAACCTACCAGGACTGCATGTCGCACAAGGCAATACATCTTTTGTGTCAGCATGGAAGCACCTAGACGATCACAGACTTAGAAAGTATAAGCCCAGATACATATAACCCTATTTGCCGTTGCAACCGACTTACGACGTCCTCGAACCCTTCAGTCAGCCTGTCGACTACCATGTCACGGAAACGCCAAGCCAGGTGGCTGATGACAAGTACGAGTATCATATCGAAGACTGCACCACGAAGCAGTCATTAACGTGCACAAACCTAGAAATCCAGCAACATGCAGCTTGTCACAACAGGACATGCATCACATATGCTAGCGAAAAACCGTGGAGAACAGGAAGTAGCAGAGGTGCAGCAATGCGAAATAATGAACGAGACCGCTACACAGCATAAGCACGACTTACGACGATTTCCAGAAAGCAATATGGAACCACTTCACGAAAAGTTGCAACACACGACGGAGTTGGCAATGTATCATAAACATAAGTAACACAGGATGCGAGAACGATGTCAATGAGCTGCTTGGCAACGTGTACTGCGACATGAAAACCTACAGCAGCCTTCCGCGACGTTGCGCTGTGGAGGGTTAAAACCTTCTGCGGGGTCTGGAGCATCATCGCACCTACGACCCACGAGTGAGCAAACCCTCAAGCCGCAACAGTCTCCCGAGAAGTTTCATACAACGTACCTTTCGAAAGTTTGCTTGGATAAAGAATATCGGATACAAAACCGAGACTGTCGGATGAGGGAGCACGCCAGAGCTTAGGGCTCGGGGATTAGGATTGCTACTCAAGCAGCGATGCTCATAGCACTGACGATAAGTCCAGCAACATGTGTCATGATGATAGATGGAATGGTGACACAGGCATATGCAAACAGAACCGTCCAAGAAGGTATTGCCGAGTTTGCTGCATGCAGCCTCGTTCCTCAGACATGGAGGTCAAAATAATTAGCATCGCTATCCCCTCGCCCTCACAGTCCCTTTTTTAGGTATCCCAAAGTGTACTATACCCTTTGCAGAGCGCTTTTACAAAGCCCTTTCGTAGAGCCTTTTTTCTGCAATCCTCCCCTTTATCTTCATAGAAGCTTTTTGTGGGATTTCTTAATTAGAAGCCAAAAAATTTCAGGGCCCCGGCTGCTGACGCCATGTCGATAGGATGGTAAGAAGCCTCTGGGCCTGAGAGAATGCGCTTCTGTTTTAGGTTTTGTTTTTTTTTTTTGGGGGGGGTTAGGGTTTAGGGTTTAGGGTGTAGGGTGTAGGGTGTAGGGTTTACCCATAGGCCCCAAAGTAGTTCCTTTTTGGGGTTCGTATGTAGAATCCTATAAGGTAATCCCCAAAAGGAACTACTTTGGGGCCTTAGGGTAGGGTTTAGGGTTCAGGGGTTAGGGGTTTAGCGTTTGGGGTTTAGGGTTTAGCTGTTTAGGGTTTAGGGTTGTGGGTTATCTCACGGGTCTTCAAAGGCTTTTTTTGGCGCGTCTTCGGAGGGACTTATCGGATGTTTGTGGTGTTGATGATTGTTTTGTAAGGGTCTATTTTGCATGGCCTGAAAGCCGAAACCATATATCCAGAACCCTGTAATACTCCTTGAAACCTGTACGAAGCCCTATCAGACCCATATAAGACCTATAGGAAACCACAGAAAGCCCGATGAAACCCCTGGAAACGCCTACACCCTATCCCCTAAACCCCGAACCCTAAACCCTAAATATAAACCCTATACCCTTAAACCTTAAACCCTAAACCCTAAAGCGACACAGCTTCCGCTATCTGCCAGGGTGCGCTCGGTGACACTCTGGCAGCCTTCTGTTGCGCTGTTGTGGCCGAGCCGAAAAAAAGTTGCAGCGGTAGAAGGGGTGTAGGGGTTCGGCCCTTTAGGGCTCAGGGTTTGAGGATTTAAGAGCTTAGGGCTTAGGGTTTAGGGTTTAGGTTTTGAGGGGTTTAAGGTGTAGGGCTTATGTTTCGAGTGGCCATAGACAAGCCCCTACACCCAGGACCGAAACCAGAACACCTCTCTCAATCGAGGTCAGAGGAAAAGTGCCAAGCCATTCGTCTACACGAAAAACCCCTGCAGCCCTGCAGCTTACCCTGCGAAAGTCTGACCCTGCTACTGCCAAGGAGCTCGTGGCTTGGTAACAGAAAGTAAGACAATCAGTGTGAAGACAGGTGACCAGCATATGAGTGAAGGGAAGACCTTCTCGTAGACAAACCAAAGATTCATATTTTTTTAGTGCGGCGAGACCTCCAACTGCATGCCGTTTGTGGAGCTGAAAAGTCGAGCAGGCTTTGGTATAGCTTCGCTTGGTGTGCTCCATGTGTTGAGCTGATCAAACCACTTCATATGGCAAACCATTGCCATGCATCAACGGAAGACAGACCGCACGACAGTTAATTAAGATTGTATGACAGTTGAAGTTACATACAAGAACCCCAAACCCTAAACTCTCACAGTGATAGAAACAACCTGCTGCAAGAACACCGGATGCAGCATCCTATGACACAAGAAACATTATTGTAAACTGGGAGTCCCGAAGGAAAGGGACCTAGAATAAGCATCCTAGCACTTAGGGCCCATTTGGGATTCCTAACTCTTTTTGAAACTCCCACTGCCGGAAGACCACACAAACCCGCATGACACAGACAACATGCAGAAACGTTGTTTGCAAAGATTGCATCCGGCCAAGTAGGGTAGCCAGGTAAGACAAAGCATATAATTCAGTGGAAGTCTCAGTTTGCATTTTCATTCGTGGTCGCACAACATCGGGTTGTACCGTAAAGCATATGAGCTTGCCTTGAGGTGATATTGCATATCGAAACGTAACTGTTTCCTTTCATGCTCTTCATCATAGACAAGAATGCAATGTAGTAGAAGTATACAAGCGCGACAGCGAATGCAACGCAAATCGCTTTACGCCTCGACTTGAATCACCTCCTTTGTCACAAGCAACCATGGAATGGGGTGGGAGCATTCCTCCCCCTTTTTCATTTCAGCCAAGTTAGAAGCAAGTTTTGCCTCCGCTGGTTTCGCACTCATGCTATACAACGAGGACCCAATTGACCCAGCAACACATCTTTGGTGAAGCAAGGCAAAATGCGACGACGGGTGCACACCTCCCAGCTGCCGGAATCGAGTGGTAAACCCTGATTTCCTCAGCTACTCAAAGACTCCAAGACCCCTCCAATATCTCTGAGGGAATACGCATGAAATCATCATATGAATCCCTTTGAGATCTGTCGAATAGTCCCGAAGTCATGGGTTTTGGAGCCATTGGAAAAAGCTGGCTTTACACTTGGACAGAGCCGATCGCAACACCTCCTTTCAGGATTCTGATTGCAAGTTAGCTCAGGAATCGCTGCCGACAGTCGCGATATGCCCAAGCCACAGATGGCATCATGCCGGTTCCTGGAGTCTTGCGCCCGAGATTGGATCAATTTAAGCCGTAAACGCAGGTATTGCTGAGACGGGCTCTGACGCTGCCTGCTAAAACCCACCTAAAACAAAAAAACTAAACCCTGAATCAAGACTATGCCTTGGAAGAAGCTGTCCCTGCCTGAGAACACGATGTCCCCAATGGCTTCGGCACATAAAACATCGACGTTGCCTTCCACCTTGCAGTCGTTGATGCTCTGCAGGATATACTCAACTGCCCAACCGAAATTGTCAAATGCGTAGATAATTCCCCATGCACACTCCATCTTCTCCTTGGAGGTTAGGAGTTTCAGGCATTCGACTGAAAAGCAAAACCGGTTCCTCTACAGCAAGAATAAACCTTGTGCACCCCCGGAGAGGACCCTCGGTAGAGAAACCATAAACGAGCCCATCTGGGAACACGTAAAAAAAAGCCTTAAAGGAGCCCCTAAAGGATCCCTTCAAGCCCAGCATTATGAAAACCGGACCAGCTTAAGGGAATGAGGCCTAAAATGGAGGGGCATGCGCCCGAAATGGAGGGCCACAATGGATAAATAATCCATGCGATTCGGAGCTCATTTTGAAGATGAGCGAGAACTGCGCGGGCACCTGAAGCTAGATATGGGAAATGGCCGAGGAATGCAAAGGCACTTGAGGCTACCTTTTCTTCAGGCGGCGATCCGGAAGGTCTCAAGGACCAGGTATGTTGAGGGTGTTGAGAGATTGTACAAGACCTCAAACCTCACAGCCAATTCGCAAGACGCAGATCGGACTCTTTCACAAAGATGTGAAATAAAGACTTTCGACATAGCGTTGGAGGGGTTTCGGAATCGAAGAAATAAAGACTTTCTACATAGCGTTGGAGGGGTTTCTGAATCGAATCAGAACGACATCCGATACTGGTGCAAAGCGACGACGGCTTCACTTCTTGAAAAAGGACCCACAGACTATAGTCGCCTTGTTGCACTATAGTCCCGGCTCAATGCTCACACGTTTACCCGGTCTCACTGAACCCTTCGGCTGCAGTCATCAAGAGCGGGTGCACATCCTCGCGGACAATCCCGTTCGTATTCCCCGTCACCTGGGCAACCATGTCGCGAAGCAGTCCTTGTGCTTGGGCCCGATCGGTGAGCTGCTGCTTCGACTCTTTCAATAGAATATGAACGATCACACTCTCCACGTTGCAAATGCGGGCTGCTTTCAAGATAGGCTTCGCCTCGGACACGTTGACCTGGAGCTGCTCGAACTGTTCCATGGTCTCACCCGTGCCAGCCTCCAGCACGTCCTGGATCTTGGCGAAGCTGGATACCAACTCCTCAGCATCACGTAGCTCCTGCAACAGATCAATGACTCAAGCCGGCTATGCCACACAACAACCCAGCAGCAGTGTTTCGATTTTTTGTAATCAGTATCGTTAGCCGTTTGTCACTCGTGACTAGTGACTGGCGTCCTATTGACTCGTGAATACTATCTCCTAGCTGCTTTAGCTTGTCAGCTTGTCTTGTCCTACCTGTCAGTCACTCTCTCGCCGCCTGGCCCCAGGAGCCACAATGCTACAACAACAAAAACACATGGCCTCGAACCTACATGGTCGGTCACATCAATCAAAGACTGTGACTAAAGTGACTAAAGTTGACGGAAGAACTCAAAACCACACGGCAACACTGCGATACTGGCTGGAACACATGTCATGTAAGCCTAAGGCCTAAACCTACGCGTGGGGACCGTGGTGCCTTCCTGTTAGCAACTTGAAAACAAAGCCGTCAGTGCATTACCAACACGACGTTACATTCCACTACTTTCACTACAGTCATTACAGATACCCTGAGTCACGAGTCCCAGAAGAGCCACCTGATTGAACTTCTCGATGCTGTCGAAGAAGGACTTGCCCCTGAGCGGCATCCTGAGCAAAGTGGTTTCAGCGAGCTGCAACACCTTGTCGAGATCAGTCTCCTCCTCCAAAGTGGCTTTCCACGACTTGCGCCCAACAACACCACTCAAGCACTTGTCCATCTTCTGCATGCTCTGATGCAGTGCCTCGGAAGCACCGCAGCACATGTGGGATATTGCGTCACTGAGAAGCTCGTCCCGAAACAACTCGTAGAAGAGGCCGAGGGTGTCCAGCTCCACCATCTCAAGGATCTTGATGTTGCAGGCATCGGCTTCGGTGCCTGTTTCATGGCTCTCCTTGGCAAGCTCCTCCTTTGCCGTAGCGACCCCTCCGGTGAGTCCGTGACCCTTCTTTTGCAATCCCATGTAGGTGTTGACCACGGTCATGAGCTGCGTCTTCTTCTTGTCGGTGTCCAAAGCCTTTGTCGCTGTGTCACCACCAGACTTGAACTTCCTCAGCTCAAATCCGGCAGACACGCCAGCCTTCAACACCTCGACGTGCTTGCTGAAGGCAATCGCGGGCTGGGAGTCTTCCGCATGGAGAAGGTGGCAAACCTTCTGCACAAGGTTCACCCTCTTCATCACGGCGATCACAGTGTAATTGCCTCCTTTCTGCTTGACCTGTTTCTGGCACACAAAAACTGAACAATACAATCACCCCGCAAGTTCTATATACATTCTAGATTCTAGCTTCTAAATATCTAAATCTAAACCTAAAGGAATCTAAAGCCTGAGTTTTTGACGTCGATACTCTTTAAGTTACGCACATGTAATGTAGAGCCCGGCCCAACAGCTGGCTGCTGGCTTGCATCCTGAAGAGCAGAAACCAGGCCTCTAGGAAAATGGAACGCATGGAGCTCACAAGCAACCCGCCCAGGAGAATCTTGTCCTTGTCTGACAGCTTGTCACGCAGGACCGGGAAATCGGCCACATTGCATCGACTCAAGATCTCCTCCAGATCCGCCAAGTTGCACGTGTCCTTCTCCGCCTGCGCAGCGATCTCGAGCAGATCGTTGAAGGCCAAGCTTTTCTGGTGCTTGGACCAGAAACTCTTCAAGGAAGCAATGATGTCTGCAATGCCAGACTCCTCGACAAAAGCACGGAGACCATCCAAAACCGCATTGATCTCCACAGTCCTGCAGCGCCCTGCTGCGAGGTCCTCTGTTGTCTTGCTCATGATGCCCTCAGCCAACGCCCGCAACTTCGTCTGAAGAAGGAAGGTGATCTCTTCGATCTCGACATCCCTCATGCCCTTGCGCACTGCATCATACTCGAGCATCATTTCTTTGAGGCGTGAGGCGGTGTAGCCCCCTTGCTTCACACTCTCGAGGAGCCGATCTCGACGGGGCTGCATTGTCACGGCGTGAGGGGACTTCTTGATGATTTCATCCACGAGCTTTCGCCACGACGCATCCTCGTTGATCAGGGCAAGCAGGTCCTTCTCAACCTTTGCATCCGACTTTCTGACGGCGGCCATCCATGTGGCCACGTCCTGGGCACTATGCTCCATCCACTTGCTAAGAGGGAACACAGCGTTCGACAAGAATTTCAGGAACTCTGTCAAACGATCCAATTCTGGCTCGAAAGCATGGATCACCTCCGGCAGACAGTCCATGCTCGCCCACTCGGCCAAGAGCTCCTTCGCATCGTCCAAGCAGGCTGCTGTGGCTTCGCAGAAGCTCTCCAAGTGAAGCTCGTACGTCTCGTAGTTCCGCAGGATCTTCCGGAAGCCCTTGCTGCCCAGCATATCCATGATCAAGGCCTTTGCAGCCTGTGCGTCACAGGGCTGTGGGTCTTTGGAAGGTACAAAGATTTTAGCAGATTAGCAACCCGACGCACCGAAACGGTAGGCCCTAGGCCCTAGGCCAAACTCTAGACTATAGTCACTCTAGACTCTAGTCTCTAAACTCTAGACTCGATTCGAGAATCTGCCAACGAGCCCGACTGGATGAGGGACTGGCCCGGCGCAAACCCCCATTTCGCTAACCTCCCCCACAAACCCCGCCACCCCCCATCGCCCACCACACCCCACCCAAGCCACCCCCAAACTCCCCTCAACCTCCTAGGATACACGACTACGACGACTACGACTATGACTACTACGACCCCAGCAACCCACCTCCCCACCAAACTTCTCACTTCCTCAACACAACTTCCACCACATTCCCGGCCTCCAGAGCTGGGGTAACCTCCTGCTTGAATGCCTCCACCTTCTCAGCGGCGGTCTCGTCGCCGATCGAAGATTCAAAGGCAGCCTGGGTGAGGCCCGAGAGCTCCTCCAAAGCCTCAGTGATCATGTTGGTGCTCGTGCCGGCAGACGGGGTCCAGGGCATCTGGCTGTAGCTTCTGCAAGGCAAACATGCCTCCACGGCGTTCTTGTAGTGCTCCACAATGATCTCCTTCTTCCGCTCAGCCTCCTCGACGTCGTCTTCCTCCGCCACGAAGATGTCCGACGCTTTGCTCAAGTGCTGGAAAACGAGGGCCCGATTTGTCCGCACTCGCCACTGCGGTGGAAGGTGCTGCGCCACCTTGTCTAGCTTCGAAAGAAGCTCTTCAAGGTCACCCAACTCCACATCCGCAAGCTCGGGTTTTTCGGAGATTTCCTTCAAGGCTTTGCACTGCTCGTACCTCTGCCGCAAGGCAACCGTCTCAAGCGCATCCGCCGCTTTCTCCTCCATGCCATCCAGCATCTTCTTGGCCTTGCAAGAACACACTGGACGACACTAAGTTCCAATATGACACAAGACTCGGAGCATTGTACGGAGCATTGTAGCTATTGTGCGGCTGGCTGGACCTGCTAGCTAGCTGCTAGCTGCTAGCTGCTACTGCCTGCTGCCTGCTACCTGGTTGTTTCAACACTGACACACTGAGCTCTGTTGGTGCTTAAAGAAACCAGAGAAAGTTTAGGCAATTTTAGGGTCTGTTGTTATTGACTGCTAGAATCTGCTAGAATAGAATCTGCTTGAAGAGCTTGGGGAACATTTGCCATGTACCGGTGCCAGACTCTACAGACCTCACACTCGACTCTATGCGACTCTACGTTCCCATTCACCAACATGTCGAGTCTTGCACTCTCTGACACCGACTGAAGCCGCTACCCCTGCAATGGCGTGACCCTTCGAGTGGTCCGTCTTCAGTGCAGTGAAGTTCTCGATGCGAAGATCCTGCAGGCACTTCACGGACACATTCTTCTTGTTGTTGATACTGTAGTGCGCAAGCGCTACATTCTTCATCTCATGATCCAACTTGTCCACTTCCTGGTCCATCTTGGATTGCTTCTTGCTCGTAGAGCCTTCCCCCTTGTCGGAGGCCCCCGTCCCAGCTGCGGCCGATGGAACCATGGCCGAGCCACTCGACCTTTCCACGGAGGCAGTCGCTTGTGCTTGTGCTGTCTGGGCCGTCTTGCGTCGCTTGGGCGCAGCTGAGTTCAAGCTTCCGTCGTGGAAGCCTGCCAGGAGAGCTTGTGCAGCTTCTTGCTTGGCCTCCTCAGCCTTCAGCGCCGCAGCTGCCTCAGCCTTGGCCGCTTTGGTCTCTTCGTCATCCTCGTCCTCATGGTCGTCGTCTTCGAACATTGCACTGAGATCTGGCTTTGGCTCTGGCTGCTTGGCACTCTCGGCGGCGCTGCGGGTCTGGTTGTCGAGGCGATCCGCAACCTCACGCAGCTCCCCCAATGTCTTCAGCATGATCTGGCCTCCCATCTTGGGCTTTTGGCTTGTGACCTGCTTCTCAACATGTGACAACACTGTCTTCGTCTGCTCGGGCACGAGCTGATTCTGGGGCATGAGCCAGTACTCGTTGGACTGAGCGGCTGTCTCGTGCCGGATCTTGACCTTCCTGACAGTCTCGCGCATCTCAGACGACATTCCCACCAGGCTCACAAGATACAGCTTGCTCGAGCTGTCTGGGGCTGCGTAGTCGCTGGAGAAAGGCTTCAAACCCAACTCTTTTGCATTCTTGCGGGTGTGCGTCTCAAGCTCGGTGTCGGTCAGCGCAGCACACTTTGTATAGATCTCGTACCCATACTTTGTCGATGCCAGCACCTCCCCTGCCGGCGTCAGCATGGGAAGCGGCTGGGTGCCCTCGACCATTGGCTTGACTACCATGTGTGTGGCTTTGGCCTGGGGGTTCGTGCGCAGCCACTCACAATATTCCGGAAACGGCAGGTCAGGCCGCAAGCGGCGGCCGGCAGCGATGCACACAACTCCGCCGGTGCCCGTAGGAACGCCGTTCTTTGTGATGAATGTCTCTTCCTGGTAGCAGCAGTTACATTGCAGCATGGTTCGGCACCAGAAAATAGTAAATAGCACAAGCAGAACTTCACTGACTATACTATACATGACATAGTCATAGTGTCATAGTGTCATAGTGTCATAGCGACTAGTGGCTAGTGACCTAGTGACCTAGTGTCACCCACGCAGTGAATGCCCAAACAAACTAAAAAAACGACCGCGGACGGACACTCAGACACCAACTCACACACCGAGACGGACACACACACACACACAGACCAACGGAATGACAGAATGAAACAGATGCCAGATTCCGCATTCAAACCCAGACACACAGAGAATCACAGACACGGAGAAAAAGAGAGAGAGAGAGAGAGAGAGAGAGAGAGACAGACAGACAGTGAGACGTAGACTTAGACGCAATGAGACGGGGGGAGACAGAGAGACAGAGAGCGAGGGAGGGAGACAAGGAGACAGATATGTAATACGGAGAGACGGGAAGAGATGATGACAGGCGCCGACATGGAGAGACACACACACACACACGCACACTCCCCCACGCTTGCCCAAAGCCCCTTCTAATACACGCTAGAATTTTAGTGTTCCAGCCCCTCCCAGTCTCAATCGCACACCTGAACAGTCCGCTGAAATCGCCTGCAAACACCAGCTGACTGACCATCACATGCGTGTGCTCATGCAAGTGTCTCCTCTGAAGTCAAACCACAGGCTGCGCACACGAGCACGGCTGCTGGTTGCACTTTCCGCGGCCTGCCCGGGCCCTGTCCCTTGCCGGTCTTGGTAACAGGGTCCTTCTTCACAGGCACCACTGCCTGTGACGAAGGCTTTTTGTCCTGCAGAAAGCAGGGGATGTGAGCAAGACGTATCTTACAATCCTACAATGGTCTGTCTCAATCTGAAAAAACAGTCAAGCGCCAGTTTCCGTCACTTGCAACCGGGCCTTCATGGACCCTTTCCCCATGGCCGACAGCAACGGTGAACGTGGGGAGAACAAAAGGTTGCACTGTGCCTACAGGTATAGGCCCTACAGTCCTACAGTAACAGGTCACAGTAACACTGTTGTGTGAGCCTTTGCCCAGCAAGATCAGGTCCAAACATTCAATATCCAAGTCCATGGACACCGCTTCAGCGAGTCTGCACATGAAGATTCAACATCGATGCTGCTGCTGGATGCATGCTCTCTCTTCGCCCTTTTGTTTGGATCTCTTCTGGAGAGCATTCCTGTAGGAGGGTACCGGGTACGTCGCCCAGAGGCCTGAGGCCGTTCGAAACTTTTGAATGCACAGCATCTGCTCTGCACGCTGCATGCACAGGTTCCAAACGCATGTACCCATGAGTAGGAACGACCGATCACAGATTCTAGCACTTATATGATTAGGACCAGGAATTAGTGCTAGTAATGCTAGTACTAGTACTAGCACTAATACTAGAGCCATGCCAGGGGAAGACTCGAAAAGGAGGGGCGCTGAGTTGGAGGTGCCCTAGGCTTCCGTGGCCTCCTGGACCTCCTTACTTTAAGGTGTCCGGCCCCGGACACCTTAGTTTACATAACAACGTTCACTGGTTTCACCAACCGTCACCAACCTCCCCTGTCCCAAAACCCCGTAGCCTTCAAACGTCCCTCCCTGCCAGGCGGTTCGCCAACGGGCTGTGCATGGCTGCGCACTCAAAACCAGTGAACCTTGTTATGTAATTTAAGGTGTCCGGGGGCGGACACCTTAAAGTAAGGAGGTCCAGGAGGCCACGGAAGCCCGAGATCTAGGGAATCTAGGGTCTAGGGCACCTCCAACCCAGCGCCCTTCCTTTTCGACTCTTCCCCTGGCATGGCTCTAGTACTAGTAATACTAGTACTAGTACTACGACTACTACTCTTGCTGCTACTACTACTACTACTACTACTACTACTACTACTACTACTAGCACTATTAAGTAGTACTACGAATAACTACAACAACTGGGTTATTGTCCTTTGCTACAAGCAGTGCTGCATTCACCTACAGTGTGTACTAGAGTTACTAGAGCTCTTTACAGTCTACAGCGCGCAAAGCAAAAACAACGTGGCTTGCAGGACTGCAGGCGTACGCAGTATCAAAAGAACACTGCTTCCTCCAGCAATCCAGCACCTGCAGCACTGGCTTGAATGGTTCCAAACTCGGAAAGCAGGGCTGGCTCGGCTTGGCATATGCCAGGCCAAAATCTACTTTCATGGGGCATTCTGGCTTATGGAGGCTACGGCTGGATTGCTGGATGATCACGGCAAGCCTTTTGTCAGATACAGGGCCCAAATGATGGAACCCAGGCTGGGAAGGAACATGCCCTCACCGGCCAAAGCACGCACACTGCCTTGGGGCACCGAAGCTGGAATAACAAGGTCGCGTCGGTGGCCTTGTAATCGAAGGTGCTCGAAAGGTAGAAGATTGCCGTCTCGTAGGTAGCTGTACACTCGCGAGGTTGTGAGCAAGCAACCCATGATTCCTTGCTGGTTTGTCCACCGGCGGTAGTCTGGGTTCTGCGACACATCGCAGTACACGTGCCGAAGCTGCATCTGCATACTGGCTTTGCTCATTCCCAATGCAGCGGGACCAATCTTCTCCATGACGACGTAATCCAGGATTGCCTTCACTCTCTCTGTCTCGGCCGATGGCTGCATGTGCCGAGTCCATGGAGTCCAGGGTTGTGTATGGTCTGACACGCACAACTTCTGCTGCATCCTAGCGAGCTGGCATTTCCAAGCCGCTGGAGTGCCAGTATTGGCCGTTGTCCGCACGGCAGCCTGACAATCGAAGGCAAAACACTTGGCACGGGGGATTCACTAGTCACCAGTCGTAACAAAAGAGGGGCTTCACTACCACGTCCATCACTACCAGTTCCTGGCCCTCCTCCTATAGTCCTAGTCCTAGTCCTAGCTTGGATCCATGGCAAACATTACATTCACTAGAATTACAATATCCTACTTGCTGATGGTGTCGTCATTTGGTGCTGTTGCCATTTCTGTTCCAATTCTTGTGAATGCAATAATGAGCAGCAAACAACACATCCCAATACCTATGTTATGAGGAGCATCAAGACCTAGCAAACTACTATTGTTGCATTATTGCTTCTGGCCTTATGTAATAAGGTCTCAGTGTTCTATGGACAGCATAGCTAGCAGGCTAAGCTGGAACATTATATTTAAGTAGCCACAATCAAGGAAATTATTTCGCAGGATGCGCCCATCGAGGAGAGAACTTTTTTTATTAGCTGCCTAACCAAAACACATAATAGTTTATAACTTACCTAGTGATGATCCTAGTAGTTCTATGTGTTTTTTGCTTAGCTACCTATGTAAGATCTTAGTACTTAGTACTTCATGAGGTATGAAATCCAAATATATTTGTACCTACCTAATTACCTAATATTTGATTAGCAGCTCATGAACACCTGAATGATTTGTTAACGACCTAATGAAAATCCTTGTATTCCAATAATTATTCGCCCCCTAACTAAGGTTCTAATATTTTATTAGCCACCTAATTAAAATCCTATTTTTTTATTAGCTACCTAATTAAAATCCTAATATTTTATTAGCCGCCTAATTAAAATCCTAATATTTTATTAGCCACCTAATTAATGAAAATCCTAATATTTTATTAGCCACCTAATTAAAATCCTAATATTTTATTAGCCACTTAATTAAAATCCTAATATTTTATTAGCCACCAAATTAAAATCCTAATATTTTATTAGCCACCTAATTAAAACTCTATTATTTTATTAGCCACCTAATTAAAATCCTAATATTTTATTAGCCACCTAATTAAAATCTTAATATTTTATTAGCCACCTAATTAAAATCCTAATATTTTATTAGCCACCTAATTAAAATCCTTATAATCTAATAGCTGCCTAATTAGGATCCTAATATTGTAGCAGCCATAGACGAGGCTAGGTGGCGTGGACCACGGCGTGGGCCAAAGAGTTCGCGTGCATTTTGGCCCTGCATTTTCGTCGGCCCTCCATTTTGCCCCTCCATTTTCCTTCTCCATTTTCGTCGGCCCTCCATTTTCGTCGTCCATTTTCTTATCGTAGAAACCCAATATTTTATTATTAAACATTTAATTAAAATCCTAATATTTTATTAGCCACCTAATTGAAATCCTAATATTTTATGAGCCACCTAATTAAAATCCTAATATTTTATTAGCCACTTAATTAAAATCCAAATATTTTATTAGCCACCTAATTAAAATCCTAATATTTTATCAGCTAATTAAAATCCTAATATTTTATTAGCTACCTAATTAAAATCCTAATATTTTATTAGCCGCCTAATTAAAATCCTGATATTTTATTAGCCACCTAATTAAAATCCTAATATTTTATTAGCCACCTAATTAAAATCCTAATATTTTATTAGCCACCTAATTAATGAAAATCCTAATATTTTATTAGCCACCTAATTAAAATCCTAATATTTTATTAGCCACTTAATTAAAATCCTAATATTTTATTAGCCACCTAATTAAAATCCTAATATTTTATTAGCCACCTAATTAAAACTCTATTATTTTATTAGCCACCTAATTAAAATCCTAATATTTTATGAGCCACCTAATTAAAATCCTAATATTTTATTAGCCACCTAATTAAAATCCTAATATTTTATTAGCCACCTAATTAAAATCCTAATATTTTATTAGCCACCTAATTAAAATCCTAATATTTTATTAGCCACCTAATTAGAATCCTATTATTTTATTAGCCACCTAATTAAAATCCTAATATTTTATTAGCCGCCTAATTAAAATCCTTTTATTTTATTAGCCACCTAATTAATATTTTATTAGCCACCTAATTAAAAT